CTTATGCATATACATTATATAATATATATATATATATATATATATATATAGTACATATGCATACACATATACATATGCATACATATACGTATACATATATATACTCCTGTGCGTGCATTTGATATAAGTTGATTCAACTTATGAATGATACCCCAAAAAAATCAAACTACAGGTTATCCTACAGGCACTCACTTGGAGGAAATTTCTCACGAACTATTAGCACGCCCGACATTACGGGCACTGCGTATTTCATGGAGAGAATCCTCATGAACTTACGGACTTGCTTTCGGCGAACACTGATAAATTATATACGTACCAGAGTCATGATGTCTAATCGAAGTAAATGCACCTAAAAGTTTCCACCTTGTCGGATACCAAAGGCAGGGGCTTATAAAGTTACGTAACGGTAAGGGTGAAATGGATGAACGCAATATTTGCTATGTTTTCAGTCGATAAAGAACTTCTTGGTATTTTATTAATATATAATTACATTTGAAGTTGTCTTTCACTTTGATCCTTGAAGATGATGATGATGATGAAATAAAACGATAAGCAATCCTGTGACAGTGACAACTGTCTGACAGACTGATACCTGTGATTTCTTGTGACTTGAGTCTGTGACTTGTGAGTAGCTGAGTGCCTGAGTCTGGTACATACATAGGGCCTCGGTGACCTGTCAGTCTGGCTATCAAAAATGTGTCATTGACTCAGTATTTTTGGTGACTTGATCTTTTGTTTTTTTAATTTATAAAACAAAACAAAAAACAAACAAAACAAAACCGGAGGGTCGCCTGGCGCCCCCTTCGCCGGCTCGTCCCCCACCCCTCCGTCTAAATATAGACTATTTACTAAAAAGACAAAACCTGAAAATATGATTCTGAAAAAAATAATTCAAGAGAGCGGTGGCATTGGTCATCATAATCATCGGGAGTGGTGAGGATGGTTATTTAGTCGAACTGCCAATCAAGTCTTTGGAATAAACATAAATATTTTAAAAGTGTTCGACTGCTCGGTATGGTTATTTTTTAAAATATTTATAGAATCCGACATTAATTTAGAGCCAAAAAGCCAAAAGGCTGAAATTTGTCAAAAACCAAAATTAATAATTTGTCTCTCCATAACCGTTTATGATTTGAATAAATACTGGTTTATTTACACTATGCTGGTTTCTAGGAATATACATAATGGTATATTATATAAAACAGGAAATAAACCAAACGTTCAGCAAAACAAATATAAAATAGCTGGTTTTGTGGTTGAACATGTCATCACAAATCAACCCTCGGAAAAAAATAGAAAAAAATAGAACTAAAAGATATATAGAGGATCGAACTAATATTTTTAAACGTCACGGTTGACGTCATACATTTTGTTAAATAATATTTGTTTTGATGTTTTGCCATAGAGACTGTTCAATTTAGAGGGCTAAATATGGAGAGACTTGAAAAACGCCTTTTTTTACAAATAATATGAACAGCGCCTTTTTTTAGAAATATATATAGTAAGGACTATGTAGTCGCCTAGAGTCGGCAACGACAACAAAACTGAAATGACCAATAATAAACGGGTATCTGTTTGTATTTTTGTATCCTGCTTTTGGGACTGGTGATTTGGTGGTGGGCGCCCGGCCGGTGGCTACTGGTGTGTGGTGAGTGGTGAGTGGTGAGTGGTCTGCAATTAATGTCATCTGAGTGGACAAGCGTGTCAAAATAACGTCACAACCACGCATAGCACAAGAATACATGTAAATATTTACGAGAGTATTTGTATTGTCAGAATCGTTTTATTTACACTCGGGCGTACAGATATTTAGTCGAAAATACTAAGTGTACGCTGACCATATGCCCACATCCATCTCTACAGCAAAGCACATTCGATCTCACAGTAACAAAATGACGCAAGAAACGGAAGAGACTCGGCCACTGAACCTGTTTTCAGGCATACGTGAGTGGAGAAAAGCTGAGGAAACTGGAGCTGACACACATCATCAAAAAAGACCCAAGGGTGATCTCAAAGTGTTGGATAGCATACTGGAACATATCGGAGATACTCCTCTGGTCAAGGTAAGTATACGAAACACCGTACATATGTCAAGTTTACAATATAAATTGGATAATTGCTCAATCATCATAGCTAGTGTAGATTGTACATGTCAAACTAAATGTTCGATTTATA